CGGAGATAAATGAAATTATTTCAAAAATGACCGATTTTTAAACCCGCCGAGATTTCAGAAAAAAATGCGTACTTTCAACTTTTTCGCAATATTTTCTTTCAAATTTTTCCGTAAAATCCAAGCTTGGCATTACTACTCAAAAGACCCTTAACTATACGATGAGCGAAGTCTGCGTTATCGTCCTTCATTTAAACATAAGTTATGCTCTCTCAAAGTAGAGGCTTCTGAAAAAAGTTGTTGGCAATCTTCATGCCAGGATCTTTTTGTAATAGATACTGTCACGCAAAAGTATCTGTTCTATAGCCACTGATTTAATGGTTACAGTAGTTTTCACTACGACCAGAAATGTCTTTTCAAAAAAGAGTTATCTTGGTTGAAAGTTGAAGTATAGAAAACATGCATTAATTATGAATCAACCTAATATTAGGTTGTCCCAAAAGTTCTGTCCATTTTTTCAACCTATCATAAAAATGCGTGGAACAAAGATAGGGAAACGCTCTAAGCACTACTTGACGCATCTTCATCTTTTCCTCCTCTTACTAATTGTAATAATCTTGTGCAAATTACTCTTTTGCTCACTGAGATAAACGCCGAAATTTCGAACCCATGGTTTTTACTATGTCCAAGTTTGACAATTTTTCACATTACTCATTTTCAATTTTTGGAAGATCTTTGATAGCCTCAGATAGAGTAAGCAAAGGGCAATGCAATGCAATTATTTGGCATATCTAGCTGGCTTTTCATTATTTTCAAAGGTAATTTTTCAAAAGTCTTCTTTTGCGAAGTTCTAAAATACAGAAACGCCTCGAACACTAACAAATCATCGGTTTTGAAACTTTCAAAAACCGATTACGATTATTCACTATTTTTACGAAGCAAATGAGCGTTTGCCGCTTTGAAATATAAGATTTTGCGGTTTATGGGTACACGCTGAGGTGGGGTCAAATTCAAGAATTATGAAAATTTTATTGCCAAGGACCCCGCAAATTGGAGAGAAAATACACTCACTGGAAAGAGGAAGAAAAGCTGCATCGAATAACATTTTAGTTGTGCGCCGTTTCATGATCTCTGGCTTTTAGCATCACCAAAGTGGAATTTGATAGCATCAGAAAAATAATTCTAAAAAATTTTCAAGGTTGGCTTTAAATGCCGCAAAATTGCATTATATTGCCCTTTGTTTGCTCTATCTAACTGTTGCCAAAGCTTCTCCGAAAGTCAAAAATAAAGATTGTGAAAAATTGCCAAACTTGGACAAAGTAAAAACCATGGATTCGAAATTTCGGCGTTTATCTCAGTGAACAAAAGATTAGTCGGCATGGTTAGAAAGTTAGAAAGAGAAGGAAGAGATGCGTCAAGTAGTGCTTAGAGCGTTTCCCTATCTTCGTTCCTCGCGTTTTTCATGATAGGTTGAAAAAACGGACAAAACTTTCGGGACAACCTAATATAAACAAACGTACATGGTGTCCCAAAAATGTATCCATTGTTTGATTGTTAATAACTTTCTTACTATGAGGTCTTTCGAGAAGCGGTAAGCGCCATTTTGTAGAGCTAGCTTCAATTTAGATTTACCATATAGAGCGAATCAGCGACTGCTCTTCAATACTGTAGGATTACGGTAGGAACTTTGAAGAGGGTTTTAAGCCATGAAAGGCCATATTTTGCCTCAAAAAAAAATAAAGCAGCCTGAAAAACTTTTACCTTAGGCTGAATAGAGTTGCTGATTCTAACTGTAAAATTCCCAACCTATTATGATGCTTCATTGAAGAGTTATGCCAGGTAAGAGGTAGCGGTCATTTTTTCAATGTTCCTAAAAATGCGGTTACCGTTCACAAAGCTTCGTAATTCTGTGAATAGTTGAGTATTGAACCAGCGTCCATAAAAATCCTATTGAACAAGTTTTTACATTTCTCCACATTGACACCATATGTTTCAAGTTTCTACCTTAATCCTACAATAATGAAGAGAGATGGGTGATTCGTTCTATATGCAAATCTAAGTTGAACCTCGCTCTACAAAATGGTAATTAAAGCTTTCCGAAACACTTCATCACAAGAGAGTTATTTACAATCAAACAGTGGATACATTTTTTGGGACACCCTGTACATATTTATTTATCTATATATATGTTCGTTCGCCCGATATTCAAAAAATCGTAACTTCCTTCCTTCCCTGTAAAATTTCTTAATTTAATTTTTGTTTGAAAGAGGAAGCCTTTTTCTTTACAACAGTTCTTTGACATGAAGTGGTGTAAGAGAGTCTAAGAGTTGGGAGTAAACAATTGAATAAAATTACTCAAGATCGGCATTTTTTTAGCTGGACCACGAAGAATTCTTTTTTGATAGAGAAAATTATGCTCTTTACTACAGTGCCTTTTCCACGAATCAAAACGAAAAAGATCGAAAGTTATAAGCAAATAAAGAGTATTATTTGAGTTCTAATTTTTGAGCATGCCTAAGAAGGCCCGAAAACGTCACAAAAAAAGGCGGGAAAGCCAAAAACGCGGCTTTTCTGACCCTCTCTTTTTAGGTGAGCCAAATTTGGACCAATCGAGAGCAGTTTTAATTTTCGTAATATTTCCGGATTTTTAGATCTGCGTTTCTCACGAAAATCAAAATTACTCTCGATCAATCCGATTTTGGCTCGTCTAGAAAGAAAAGGTCACAAAATACGTGTTTTTGGCTTTATCGCGCATGCTCAAAAATTGCAAAACTGAAGTAATTTTCTTTATTTGCTTATAACTTTCGATTATTTTCTTTTCATTTCGTGAAAGAAGCACTACAGTAAAGAGCATATTTTCCTCTATCAAATAATAATACTTCCGAAATTTTTCGTGATCCAGCTTGAAAATGCCAATCTTGAGTAAATTTATTCAATTGCTTATAACTCTCGGACCTTCTCACGCCATTTCATGGCATAGATACCTTTGCAAAGAGAAAGGTTTCTTCCTCTTTTGAAGAGAGATTAAATCAAGAAATTCCATCAAGAAGGAAGGAAGTTATGATTTTTTGAAATCCGGCGAACGAACTTTTGAACCCACCTAATATACAGGGAGTCCCAAAAGTAAGTACACACTTTTCAATCGTCAACATCTTTCTTCCCAAGGGTCTTTTTTTGGCCATTCAAGTGTCATTGTGTAGAAGAGGCTTCAACTTAGATCTATAGCATCGAGCGAATCACCGATTGCTTTTCGTTATTGTAGGATTACGGTAAAAACTTCCAGCATGTGGAATCAAACCATTGTGAAATATGCCATCTGACAAAAATTTTTCAAAATTTTTACGAGTGTTTTTAGCTTTTTTGACGGTGTAATCTCACATTTCTGACAAATGCTGGAAATCAGTTATTACGGTTTACCTGAGATAACCTTGAAGAAGCATTACAGTAAAGGAAAATTTCATATTTGAAATCAGCGGCTTCCATTACCATAGTGTCAGAGTTTTTGGCTTCTTCGGTTTTGTTCCAAGGCAGAATATGGCTTCCAATGGCTTAAAATCCTTGTCGAAGTTCCTACAGTAATCTTACAGTAATGAAGAGAGATCGGTGATTTGCTCGATGCCAAAGATCTAAGTTGTAGCCTTCCTACAGAATGGTACTTGAATGGCGGAAAAAGAGATAATGGGAAGAGAGATATTAACGATTGAAGGTGTGTATATATACGGGGTGTCCCAAAAGTATGTATGCACTGTTTGATCGTTGATATCTTTTTTCCCAAGAAGCCTTTTGCTTAGTATGCAACATTTTGTAAAGCTGGCTTCAACTTAGATTAACAGTATGGAGCGTATGGATCGTTCTTCATTATTGTAAGATTACGATAGGGCTTTCAGCTTATAGCGTCATTACGGATTTACCGTGTTTCAAAAAAAGTTTTAAAAAATCTGAAAAGTGGTGTACTAGGGTTTTCCAGCTCGCTGATTTTATTACTCGAATTTTTAAGAATAAACAAAGCTTTTAAAATCTTGTAATCACCATTTTATGGAGTCTTGTAGAAACAGCCGTTGCGGTCTACATGACATAACTTATGAAGGAAGCGTTGCGGTAAAGCGCAAACATCATAATTGGTTTGAGCGGCTCCATGACCTAGTATAAAAATTTTCTGGTTGTTTGGCTTGCTTTCTGAGGCGAAATAGGGTCCTTGATGGCTCACAGCCCTTCTTGAATTTTTTATCGTAATCCTACAGTAATGAAAGATGACCGAAGATCGCTCCATACTGAAAACCTAAGTTAATGCGCTCTACAAATTGGTGCATAGGGTAAGCAAAAGACTTCTTGGGAAAAGAGATATCAACGATCAAACAGTGTATACATACTTTTGGGACACCCTGTATATTAGGTTGTCCCGAAAGTTCTGTCATTTCATTTTTGAAATTTTGTAACTTTGCGGATTTGAATCCTTACAAATAAGTTTGAAAGAGTAGGTCTTTCGCTCTCGAATACTTTCCTTCCTAGCTTCTGATACCTTGCAGAGATAAAAAAGGCAAAAGAAGACCATATAAACTTTGGTCATTTTAAGTTAGGCCGCCAAAAATCTGAAACGCTGCAGAAAAATCTGAAAGCGTAAATGCACAGGTTTTTTGACCTACTCTTTGCAACAGTGAAAAGTTTGTGCTGTTTGGACGTCTCTGTGAAAAGTTACGAATCTCTACTTTATTACAGAAAATGCCAAAATCAATTGATTTGTCCCTTTTTTCGAAAATCATAACTTTTCACAGACACGTCCAAACAGTAAACTCGTAAAGAGTAGGTATTAAAGTTCGAATACACCGCAATTTTTCATGAATTCTTGCAAAGAAACGACATTTGTTTCGCTTTCTCTGAAGTTGAAAATGAGCGCTTCTCTGAATTTTTAATTTCATTGGCCACGATAAGTATTTTCTTCGTTTTAAATTAGTTCAAGCACTGCGCCGTCCACAGTTTACATGCATACAAACACACACAAGTACAAATCCTCTGCTTTAATTTTATGAGATCATCGCACTTGCTCTGATATACTACTTGTGCAGATGAACCACTTCACATAAATTTGGAGTCTTTGCAAATGCCAGTGATAATAAATGCTCATCGTAATGGCTACTATAGACAGAATTATGACAGTGTTGGATGGGAGAATATAGCTGCGCAGTTTACACGAAATCCGGTAGGTTTGTGTTGGTACTCTTGAAAACACCAAATCTTTATATCACCACAAGCTTTGTTGCTTTTGTATTGAAAAAGCCATTATGACGTTGATTAGTTAGGGGATTACAGGTGTTTGATCCTTATACGAGATACGTGCTTTTGAGCGATGCATTTTCTGCAGCTGTTATCGGTCAGCTGGATTACAAATTTGTGTTCAAGCTCATTCGATATGCTTACTCATCCAAAAGCGGTGAAAAGGTAAACCATCTTTGAAATGTGGCTAACTCTATAGCTTCAGCTCTATCAATAGTGGTGGCTTAGTAAGACAACATTCTTTTTACATAATTGTTAGAAAAACTCAAGCACATCAAAATCAAGGGAATCTTCCAATAAACCGTGCAAAACATAGGAAATCTCAGTCAATGCAAAAACCGCTGTTAACCATTATGCTTTCTATTAGGTAGCCTCTTCGTATAGGTAAGCAATGGGAAATAGTGACCTTCAAAGCAAGAAAATGCAAAGGGTTCCGCGGTGCCCGCGCCAATTACTGTAAAGCCGCGTCGCGAAATCTTCAAAATCTGTGAATTCCGTAACTTCCCCGAGCGTCTTGAAATGGTACATTCAATAAAACATTCGAATATATTTGCATTCGAAATCTAAAACTCGAAGTTTTCCATTTTCGGTTATAATTCGAGAAAATAATTTAAAAACGGAATTTCGAAGAATTTGAAAACTCGTAATGGAAACCTTGAACATTGTTTTGTTCAAATGTTCCATTCGAATTGCAAGTAAAAATCGTATCCGAATCATTTGAGTTCGGTGCAAAGTCACATCGACCGAGTTGGGAAGGTCAGCAAGTTTTAGATATGGTCGTTCTAAATATATTTGATTATTTTTTTTTATCCGTGCATTGTTCCCTAATACAACACGCATACGGGGTCTGCTACTCTCTAGTATCATTTGATATGCTAGGTGTTCCACAAGAAAGAGCAGAGAAAAAAAAAACTGTTGATCATACGTTACAAACAAACTGTAACGGTGCATCATCATGTCTACTCTACTACTTTTATTAGTCTTCTCCATTTTTTACGATCTTCAGCTTGACGTTCATCAATTTCGAGCTTTTTTAAGTCTGCCTCAACTTTATCCATCCGTCTTAACTTTGGTCTTCCTCTTGGCCTCTTTCCGGGGACATCTACAGACATTGCTAATTTAGTGACGTGATCTTCTCCCTTTCTTCTAACATGTCCGTACCATCGGAGTCGCCTTCTTGTACCTTCTTTATGATTGGGGCGACGTTCATTATTGCTCTTATGGTATCGTTGGTGACATGGTCCATCATCGTGATGCCTGCCGTCCATCTTAGCATACGCGTCTCCATTACACTAATCCTTCGTTCATCATTTCGCGTACACGGCCAACTTTCGCTGCCATATAGAGCACTTGGGCGAATTACAGTGCGGTAGCACAGCTGGGATTTCAGCTTGATCGCATCCGCTTATTGCACATGATTCCTGTGAGTCCTCTCCATTTTGACCATGCTGCGGTTATCCTGAAGCTGATCTCGTCTTGGAGCATACCATCTGCAGAAAGGCGACTTTCCAGATATCCAAATGTTGTAGTCTTCTCGACTGCGATGTCTCCGACTCGGATGGTCCCAGGCGTTTGAGTTCCTATCTCCATGTACTCGGTCTTCGCAGCATTGATCTTCAAGCCGTGCAACTCAAGTTCAGTGTTCCATTTCTGCACTCCCGCCTCCAGTTCTCCCCTTTCCTTTGCCATCAACAATATGTCATTTGCGTATATCAGAGCCCACGCAGGCTGACGTATAAAACCTTCAACTATAGAGTTCACAACCGTAATGAAGAAAAAAGGCGACATGACGGCACCTTGATGGACGCCGGCGCGTATTGGAAAGTTTCCAGATTGACCCGCTGCTGACTGTACGTGGCTCGTGGCATCTTTATATATCATCTTGATCCACTGCACGTATTCCTCTGGCATTATATGCTTTCGTAGCGACCATCATATGATTTCATGCGGCATCTTATCATAAGCCTTCTCCAGATCGAGAAACGCTACATGCAGCTTGCACTGTTTTTCCCTGCTTGTTTTCATCATTATCCTGGCAGCATGGATGGCGTTTATCGTGCTGCAACCTCTTACAAATTCACATTGATTGGGAGCTAGTTCCACAAATGCTTCGCAGTCGCGTTTCTAAAATTCTTTCAAAAATCTTCATTGTGTGACACATAATCGGATGGGCCGGTACGTCGAGCAGTAAGCTATGTCGCCTTTGTTTTTCCACATCGGTACCGTCGTACTTCTGTACCAATCGTTGGCATGTTCTTGGTATCAATCTGATTCAGCAGTTGTGTTAACCATGTCACTCCAGCTTGTCCGCAATTTTTCCAGAAATCGTTAGGTACGTCATCTGGACCTGTCGCTTTACCATTCTTTGTTTTCTTAATTGCGACAGAAACTTCTTCCTCTGTAATGCTGGGTACTGGTCGGAACACAGGATCGGCAATACACTGAATGTGTACTCGTGGTTCTTAGGTGCCATTCTTGCAAAATGTGATCTCCATCTATCATTTATCTCCGTGGCCTTGTGAGTACTTTTCCGTGTTCATCTTTGATACTGTAGAAGTGCTCTATATCGTGCATGGCGTTTGCTCTTCTTTTTGCGATTCGGTGAATGTCTCGTTCGGTTTTTACGGTTCGTATTTGTTGATGTTGAACGTGTTTCGTTTTCGGAAAGCTTCCTAGCTTTGACTTGAGTATTTTGTCGAAACATGAAAGAGCATTTTGATGCGACGATTTTTCTTCTTCAGCCGGCTTGTCGCTCGCTTCCCTTTGGACTAGCAGCCTGACGCTGGGGACGACCACTTACGATGACCGCAAGTGACAATATTTAATATTGTCACTTGCGGTCAGTTCTAAATATTTGATTATATCACTCGAAAAATCAAAAATCAACCCTTAACGTTTGATTATCGGTCGTTCATTCGGACTTTTCACAAAATTTTCGAATTCTTGGCAGTCGTTTGTCCGAATGCTTTATGTTTCGAAATCGTTCGATATTCGTTTATTCGACACTTTCAATTTTCGAATATCTTGATATTCATCAAATGTTTCAAGCTCTATTCGATTTTCATTCATTCGATGAAAATTCCCCGAAGTATACTGCATAAAAAATTTTTTTAGACAGATGATTTACGGATTCTAAATTTTTACGATGTTTAGACTACATTTCTCAAGAAATCTTACAATTTTTCACTAATTCTGCAGCCTTGCAGTTTCAACTGCAGCTCTTAGAACATTACAAAATTTCAAGCGTTCACAACAAAATTCTTCTCAAGGGCGTTAATTTAACGGCGACGTCCACCTACGCTGTGGTGATATCCACTTGGTGCAATAGCAGAGCTCTGATTAGATGTCGCTCAAGTGCCCCTGAAATCTACTGAACCCCAAAAAATTGCTTTAATAGGTGGAACTAGGCTGGCTCCACTTCAACGCGGGTGGTTCCAAGATAAGATAAGGATGTAGACAAGATATGTCTAAATACAGAGTTCGATGATTTCTATTGTGATCTGATAGCTGTTAATGAGTGGCGGACACTTATTTTGACTTCCAATTTTGAACATATTCTCCTCAGTTCACCCACCTTGATGCTGGAATCACCATTGAGGCTTCTATTTTTTGGAGCAACTTTCTCAAATCTGACTTAACCTTCTACAGCGATGAGCAGTACCCAATAGTCCCGTTAATGTATCGTATAAAAATCTGGCCAAACTTATCCGGTAGGCAGTCTTTCTAAAAGCTGTTCAGAATGAATTCGAGCGCATCTTGAAAAGCGTTTAATTTCCTTTCATAAACAGATGTTTAATTTTTAAAAGCTTTGGACCCTGAGAAAATTGATAAGTGGGTGACGAGCAACGAAACAACTTTTGGGGTGATCTACAGAAACCGTGAGCATCCAAACATCAAGAATATAAGTTGGGTATTTTCTAGTCGGAGTGACCTTTCCATATAGCATCACGCCATCTTTTAACGCTAATTTTACGTCTGCTTTTTTCACTTTGGAACTACTTTTAGAAAGAAGTTAAGGTGTACGAAAGTTCAAATTTGTCAATAAGTGACACAAAATTATCGAAAAGCTTACGGCTGTAAGAAGGTACTCATATCTGTATCAAGTTTATTTATTACAATGAAGGAGCACAGCCCGTGGAGCATAGGTATTTTTACAACTTTTCGCCCATTTTCTGCCACTAAGACTTGATAGATATACAAGATCAAAACTGAGCACTTTTTTCCGAGAGTTGTTCCGCAAAAAAGGAAGGATTTAAGCGCTCTGGCAAGTTATATAGGCGTCAGTAGAAAAGCACTTCAACCAAGGCTTCCCTTGCATGCAATCCAACTTTTTCACCGTACCACTGATCAAATATAGATATCTGCAAATACTGCGTAGATTAGCTTTCAGTACGTTGGCTATGCATAAAAAGTGCTACTTCCACCAATGTTGTTCTATTCTTATGTTGCAGCAATGGCTACCATGGAAAGCAATTGTAGATGAGATGACCAAGATATATGCAATGTATCATAGAAGAGACGAAAACGCTTCCTATGTCTTGGTTAGTGTGCGATAATCGTCTTCATTGCAAGTTACAATACAAGAATAGAAATATATACTATTCTTGAATGTTTCTGCAAAAAATAGGTATGTTGGGTGCTCTTTATGCTGTCCAATCACGGCCTTACGCTTCAACGTCTTTTCGCCTTCCCGATGGTTTCGGCCGCTGGAATTGTACCATAGATGCTATAAGATGTGACCTAATGTTTGCATGTGACACGAATGGGTGAAAATCTGCGATGATCGATAGCCGCTCGTTTCTAATGTTTACTGTTGGACTCTTCGCAGAAATCCAGAATGCTTCGATTGCGTTCCTAGCCAAAGTTTCTTTTTCGTGTGCCAAGATTTGACGTTAAGGATAAAAGATATAGGATTCGGCGTCTTACCCTTTGCGGGTATGCGCCGAATGCACTCTACTTCACAAAAAGGGCGTGCAGCCTTTTACAGTGATTTGCGGGGCCCAGCCGATTACCAAGTCAGTGCTTTTATCTCCCAGATTACTCTGGTACCGATTTACCGGCCCAGGAGGGTAGAGGGCTTGGTTGGCCCAGGGGCGGAGAAAATCGTTCCAGTATTCTATTCGTTCCTAGGCTTGTCAAGTGTTGAAAACAAAGATCTATGCCTTTTATCTGCCAGATGTTCTTTTTATACGATTAGTGAGGATTTCTTCATTTTGCCCTATTTAGATAGCATAGTAGCTAAGACATTCTAGTTAATCTGCAACTGCGGCAGGAATGATGAACGAAGGTCGCAAACTAGCAGGAATAAGTGATGCTTGACGGTTTCGCTTCATTAAGGCTTTGAGTTTCGCCCCTCTGAGGAACAGGAAAAGGCGTCGAAAGGTAAGGCCGTGTTTGGAAAGAATAAACGAACACCTGACAAAGCTATTCGGTACAGAAGCATTCAAATACTGACTGTTATACAGGTTTTAAAAAAGTGGAACTTTTAAATTATAAGAAGAAATATATATTGCATACACATCTTTTTTAGTCATACATAGACAGAGTGTTGCAACCAATTTCTCTTGAAATTCGTAAAAAATTCTTCGCTGAAGAGACAGAATTTGCTAAACATATAAGAAAGCAGAACGAATCTTCGAAGGAACGCATCACTGGAATATTGGATTGGAAATCAGTGAGATGGGAATCCAATACTGCTTTGTAGGTTTGAATTGTGCCATTTTTGACATCATAATTAACTTGTTAGCTAGTCGTTAATGCGAAGATGACTTTGAATGAACAGTTTGGACTAGTCAAAAATTGCCACGGCAGATACTTATCAAATCGCATAACTGAAGAAGTATCTTGATATGGTAAGATAAAGTCTGAAGCGAGAAGTTATAAAATGCATTGAAACTTTAAAACAATTCTCTTTCTACAATCAAAAGATATCGACAGCGACTTTTGAGGCAAACTAAAATTTCAAGTAGACAGCTTTGCTACCAAATATAGTTAGTGCAGAAGTAAGGAGCGTTTTTTTTGCTTAAACTTTCTAGGATGGGGTTTTTTGCTTGTCGGCGATTGCCCTCGCAAATGAACTTCTCCGTCGTAAAGCAAGCGCCGCTCAGAAAAATTTTTTAGAGCTTTGGTGTTCCAAATTTTACGCCTTTTATCCATTCATGAGTAATCACCGCCCCTTTATACATATTGATTATAAGTATCTGCCGTATCAAGCATTTCTAAGTTCTTGTGTATTTCTTCAACAATTCGCAAGCATCGACTTGTTTTTTTTTCTGAATTATCTTTTGCATGAAAACATTCCATTGTAAATTATCCAGTGCAGCCGCGCTAAACATTTTTCGATAAGAATGATTAGGCTTGAAGATTGAAAAGTTTGAAAAACTCGAGAGCCGTGGTTTACGAAACTTTGAAATTTTGCTGACTCAGGTTTTTTCAATCAAAAAAGCTTAGCACTGTTCGGCTGAAATTAATTCAATTTGAGATTCAGTTTCAAAAGAAAAGAAAACTATGAAGAAAAGAAGGTTGGCAGGGGTGTGGTGCAAGAGGAACAATAGTAATTGTCAGTTACTGCTTCCAATGCACTATTTGTCTCACAATGCGTGAATTCTGGACTTCTGAAAATTAGCGGAGTTGTATGAAATGCCCTAAATAATGATAATTGCAATTTGGTAATGTTGTTGCAAGAAAAAACTTGAAACACTTGAAGTTTGACCTTTGAGACCTTTTTTTGATATTTTCAGCTGATTTTCACACCTCTTTTCAAGCAAACAGAATCTTCCTAATTCTTCTGTCAAGATGAAAGCATAAAAGAAGAAAATACATTTTTTGCTGAATGGGCAGAAATGACTGTGAAAGATGCGCGAGTTATTGACACCCACCAGCTATCGTTCCTCCTGCTCTCCACTCGGTTGGCAGCTAAGGATCATCGGATGTACCCTTTGATTCAACTGGCCTGGCGGCTGAAAGGCGGGCTTTTGTGACCTAATTAAGGGTAGACGATGATCAGAGAGCACGCTCGCGACAAAAACGCAGACTGCATCGCGGGCGCAAGCAGCGTCAGTTAGGTCACAAACCCCGGCGCAAAGGTTAGACTGCGCGAGATGAATCACGGGGGTTTGAGATACAAAGCCTTCTTTGAAGCTGCATTGCCTTTTCTAGCCTGTATCTTCATTCACGCATGAGTCCCTGAGTTGCCACTCTGACTTGCTCCCCTACTCCTCTCCTCCTTCCCCTCTTCCCCCCCCCCGCCACCGGGCACCATTTTACCTTCCTTTCAAGGCAAAAACTGACCTACGCATTATTCTAACCGCGAAATCTAGTTGAGCTGGAAAAAAATGAATTTTCCCTAAAAAGTGCCAAAAATTAAAACTAGTGAAAGAAGTACTTTCCTGTAGTAAAAAATAGTCTGTGATTTTGCTCGGTCTCCATGTGGGCAAAGTTTGCCGGGCCAATAAACTTCTCCGTCGTAAAGCAAGTGCCGCTCAAACGGCCACCGCCGCGTTCACATACTTTACGTTCACAGGCACATACGTTCACATACTTCATACGGTCTCTAGCAATGCTGTCTATATCAAACATTTGGTGCAGGATTGCGCGACTTTCCTGACTGCCGAGAAAAACAAGTTTGGTTTGCTTTTGCCGAAGCAATCCTGAGCTGCTCCCACATTCGCAGTTTCAAACTTCAGGATTTTTTATATATTGTCAAACCTTCTGAAGGGGGGGGGGGGGGGAATGGGCGGATGCTTAGAAGTGGTAGCATGCAAAATGATCTTTCGTATTCGAAATTTCTTCTTGTTTTTTTCTCTCTTTTAACTTCGTTTGATGGATATGGGATAGCACAGAATTTGTTTGTTCCGCTGAGAAGCTTATGTCGGTTGCAGCGAAATGTGCAGGCCAAAGCTCACATCTTGAATTACGAGTGTCTCGACGACATATAGAATTTTTTCCCGTGTTCCTCTAGCCTCTTCCCATTCTCCTGTGCTTTCGTGATTTATTCCCTATGATGTAATGGGTCACTTTGAAACAGATGTTGTGGTCTATCCACCTTTCTGCCCATCAATGTATCTGGCATAGTTTGGTTTGCATTAGTTTAGAAATAAAACGTTCTCTATGAAACAGGCGAACTGTCGCCAAGCGACAACAAGAAAAAACAAGTAAATATCCGAGGTTTGCAAGATACAGTACTCCCATGCTTGCAAACTTTACTTCAGGCCATTAAAAACAGCGTGGCCTAGTGACTCAAAGTGGCAGCTGCGCCAGATGGTAGCGACGATCCCGACCAAGAGAGGCGTCAGCACATTCGTCATTTATGCTTTAGCTCAAGTATTGCGGCGTAGTCGTGTTTAACAGTTTAGTTCGCTTTAAGCGTAGAAACTTTTGAATGCTGCGGAAAAGGCTTTAATCGCGTTTAACGTTTTCAACCTTCATTGCCTAAAATCCTAGAATTTAGCATGCGCATTTTGTCTGTGTTTTTGTTGATCTAACCTCCACATCATAGTTCTCATTTAACGATCATTTCACTTATGTATTTTTATATTGCTCACTTATGCGTGCTTTATTCGTGTATTTGTTGATGCGTATTTAGTCAGTAAAGGTTTAATTACCCAAGTTTGAGGTGTTGTGTGTGTGGTAAAGTCCCGCGTGGCGTATTTGGCTTGTTGGTATTCACACAAGTGGTATTCGAGGTTTATCGTGTCCTAATATCACTTATCGTCACTAATTTATCTCACGAACAAATGAATGCAAACTGACAAGCCTTACTTACAAAATATGCTGAATAATCGAAACTGTCTTTATTTGCTTACGAAGCCTCCCGCTCCCTGCCCACTTGCATGTATTCCAAATGAATGCGAGCCTGAAAAGCTTCGGAAAAAGCTTATCTTCGCCACTTCTCTGCATTTGAAAGCCTAGATATGGGTTCATCATAGCGAGAAGGCTCCGAAAAGGTGAGAATCTGAGAAAAGAAATTCTGCCGAGACACTGTCTTTAAAGGCAGTGGCTCGGCAAATCTCAACCTAGTCAAATTTGCGCTTAGCTGGGGTTTTTCAATACGCTGATCCCGAAAATCCACTTTTGAAAGTTTGAAAACGGCGAAAATAAGCGTTTCTAAAGCCCATCCCTTTGATATTGGACGAGTGGAGCAAGGCCGATGACGCTAAATCGTGGCAGGACCCAATGGTTATAGCGTTGCGGCGGGCAGCCTCCAATGGTGAGAAGGAAATTGCCAACTCGTCCAGATGCGTGTAAGATTGGCCTGCGCGTGTAAGTTCGAGAGCAATTTTCTCGGCAGGGAAAGCATGCTGTGCAACCGGGATTGCACTGTTTTCATAATTGGGCGATAAGGAACCTGCCGCGTTAAAATATCGAGTTGTTGGATTTTGCCGATCCACTGCCTTTAAGTTGGGGTGTTCACTCGTTAGAGGAAATAAGGCTCCCTCGTTAGAGGAAATAAAGCTATCTCCCCAAGAAATCCTCAAAGATCTTATAC